AGTACTTCTGTGTCATCACATAAGAAAAATTAAGGTTAGGCTACATGTTAAGAAATAGTCTTCAAGACATCAGCAATGCTACTAAGTATGGTTACCTACTAAACTGTCAAGAAGCCAGAGCCCAGAATGTCAAATTTAGAATAAAGAAATAGTGTTTTAAAAATTAATCTTCAAATAGACTTATTGCAAACAACTATTTCTGGTTGAAAAAAAAAATGTAGATTTAAACACAGACTTTAAAATGACAGTCACTGGAGTGCATTAGCCAGTAAACCACCTTTACTCATAAATATAAAACTGTATTTGTTACACTCATGAATGTTCCAATACTTGAACTCGTTTTAATTCAGTCATCATGTTTAATATACACACACATATATATCCTAACACGCATTTCAGGTTTCTGTAGTGTTAAGAAACAGACCTATGACAAATAAGCAACAGCTAATTCATTGCCTGTGAAGAAGTTAGCACAAACGTTACAAAACTATAGTAGTGTACTTAATATTCTTTTCCCTAGGACTTAAAGAACAAAAATTACTCTGCATTAGTTTACTGCATATGTGTGTATATTTGTATGTATGCGTGTGTATGCACGTAATTTATTTTGAATATCAATCTGTATTGGAAAAAGCTAAGTATGGGCTAATATCACAGGCCTGAAGAACTTCAGATGTTTACAGAAAGCAGCTTCTTAAGGAGCTGTCTATTAATCATCAACCAAAAGTCACACTGGAATTATAAACATCATACAGTGGCCATTCCCTTGCCCTTCATTTCACTCAACAAACACCTACAGTGTGCTTAGTACAACACATGACAAAGTACTTGTGTCTTCTAATGTATTACTAGTTAGTGTATCTATAGCTAAATGTATAAATATATACTTATACAAACACATATTTATGCATATATACTTATATTTATAGACAAACTTGCTGCATGTTTGGATTTGTCTTTTGTTTAAGTATGAAATATTGAAGTTATATATAAGTTCTAAATTTAGCTTATAATTTTATCTGGGTCCAGACTAATTCGTATTGAAATCAATGAGGAAAAGAACAAAACACCAGAACACAACCCCCCCAAAGCTTTCTCAGCCTTCCTGCAAAACATAGCATGTTAAAACTATCTTTATCCACAATAAATACGACCTTATTTATTTCTGCTAGAGAAGTATTTATCAGTAAAGCTGCCACAAATGACTTGAGGTATGCCAGAATCTTCAGAGCACCAAATTGCTATGCATTCTTTAAATCTAAAACTTGCAATTGTACCTTTTTTATTGTTTCTAAAGAACATTACTCAGAAAGCAGCAAAACTTGAACAATTTCTGGGAAATTGTTATAGTGTTGTTGTTACTAAACGTCCACAGGGCAGACTTCCATAATTAGCATACTGGTTGACAAACATTTAATTCCTTCTCTACCTTCGCCGCCGTAAAGAGAATTTCTTATCCATGCTTCCAAGGGTCTATTTCAGGCTCAATCAATCCTCCTAACCCCACAAGCTGTGTCCCAATATCTTCATATGGCCAAAAGCCAACACAAATAGTGTATTTACCTGAGAGAAGTGAAAGAAAACAGAGTTCTGGGAGCAGCTCAGAAGCACAAGATGACAATAGCTCTCTTCAAGCCCCACCACTCTGCTGTAAAAAGGAACTGAACCGTTGCCCAAGTTCCAGGGACAATCACTTAATGTCAGCCTCAAATGCCAGAAATGGGGATCACCTAGCATAATGGCACAACACTACGGCTTGTCACATGACAATCACAACAGAGGACCTTCACCTGAGCCACTCAGAAGCTGAAGAATATTCAGAAGGACAAACTGGCCACATTTCTGCATTTCATATCTGATCTTGTTCCACACCCATTCCCATGATCTTATCTCCAACCCTTACTCGGTACATTTCATTCCAGACTGACTGCCGCTTTTCTTTTCTTTTCCCTTTCAACTATCATCTTTGTATCTTCAATTTTTTTTATACAGTGCAATCAATTTGCCTCAGTAAGTATATGACAACAGTATCCTTCAAAGCATTTTTAGTTGCTTTTCAACATCAATCACAAGGCAGACACCAGCAGAATTCCTACCAATTGATATTTTAAATGTTCTGATACGTTCTGCAGCATAACTCCTTGGGACAGACACCGACTGGGTTTGACATACAAGATGCACTAATGTGTTACTCAAACTCGGGGATGAAGACAACTATCATATTGCTTTATATTCATGTTCTTAAGAGAAACATTTTCGAATTCAACATTTTTTCCTAGAACTAGATATATCAGTAGCTGAGTGTCAGCTGTCTTCAAATACTACAGACTGCGAACACAAACCTTGATTATAGAAATTTTCTGGTTAAAATTTTTGATCACTGCAAAGACCTGAATTAAAAAATAGGTATCATTGATGTTAATTCAATTGGTGAACATATTAATATTTTTCTTTTTACTTAGACCATCTTGAGCTTCATATCTTATTAAGGAATTAATTAAATATAAATCACAAATTTTAAAAAGTCTTACAATCTCATCATAAGAAAAAAGAACAGGTTTGCACACAGAACTTGCTAATGTGCATTAACACGTTGCTAGCAAGTTTACTGAAAGGTATTTCTGAAACAGACCAAAACCACTTAGTTATGAAGGGTGGCAGATGTACACGGATAAACCTGCCAGAATTATTTGATAGTGCTGACAAGCAGAACTTACTGTGTCAACTGTGTCAACATATTGCCCAATGTGTATGGGGGGGAAGGCAACCAGAACCCAGGCAGCAAATACTAAACTCTTACATGAATTTGAATTTCATTTTTATCAATGTAACTAAACAGTTGCCTCCTTTTCAAGAAAGACTTCTTTGGTAATTTGTTAAGTATAGGAGTAATCAACATTAACCCAGATTACAATCTTGTATGCAAAAATTCAGCAGCTTGTATTACAAAGAGCCTAACAGAGAAAAAATATACAAGTTTTCTAAGTCTCTGAAATCAGACTGTTATTCCAGCTGGTGCTGACAGTAGTCTAAGTATTTGCTTTCAGTTGAACAGAAAAATACCAGGTTAAATTCATAGAGAAGAAAAGAAGTTTCCAAATTTACATATTGGCTAATACATTAGCTTTTCAAAACCTTTATTTTAAAAATCGAAGGAACTTTTCTTTAAAAACATGTAACTACTTTTTTTCCTAGTGATGACTAAATACCTGCTAGTTTAATTTGTGACAATTTAGTCACAATAATAAAGTTGCATATTCATTAAAGATGTATCTCACTGACCAAACCACAGAAATAAGGCCATTTACTGTTGTTTTCCCTACTAATTGAAATTGACCAGAATTTGTAACATCTTCCACGTAGAAAATTTAAATAAAAAAATAACTGTAAATTGAAACACATTTCGCACTCCTAAAAAATGACTGGGAGTTATATTCATTAGCTTTTGTGTTGCTGTGCTTGTGCAACACACTAGTTTCAGCAGGCATACTGTGGCTGAAGTATAATGTTTCTCCAGACTTCAGTGCTCCAGCAACATTGACCAGCAGTTCACCAGAAGCCACTCCGCCTTCATTTAGGGTAGCCAATAAAAAATTAGCAACTCTCCCTTTAAACAGAATGAAGCAGCAAAATGAAATTTCAGGGCTGACTATAAGGTGCCCTCTTTGAATGGGACAGGAAAGTCCCATAAGAATGCATATATGTTACTTCAACAATCTCTTAAAGTAATAGGGGCGGTGTTTGGTTTTTTTTTTTTTTTTTTACTTTGTTTCTAATACTAAGTGCCAATCTAGATGCTATTCTTACCATACCGATAAGTTAAAAATGTTTGAGAGTTCACATTTTGTTGAGAAAGTGATTACCTAAAGAGAAAGCATGTATGAATGATTTCACCGTATTTCAAAACAGAAAATTTCGATTTGTCTGAGACTAAAAAAGCTAACCTAGAAGAAATTTGAGATTCACTTCACCTTGTACAGAGATAACCACCAAGTGCATGCTCTGCTTTTTTCAACTTAAAATGGATTTCACACCATGACAGGTTTCAGTCTGCATTAAAATTGCAAATCTTCTATGTGGCCCAGTTTCAGCTGCAATTGATCTGCCTTGTCGTCACAGATAAAAAAAAACAGTGAAGGGCACTGCAGCTTTAAATATTTCAGAGCTATGTAGCTAGTAAATAGACTCCATTGCAATATGGCTCTGAAGGTCGTGTCCTATTGTCTCTTTTCTCTGCAAATATTTTGAACAGCATAAAATGGTTTACTTTATACAATACCTCCCTGCCATTTCTAAATCACGTCAATTTTATTAGGCATTTCCTTACTGGAAAGGACAGATACGCCACGCTTTCCATACACACCCACGCTGCTTCTAGATTTATTCAAAACGTCCACTGTGAATATAACAGCAGGGTGTACATATCAGACATATACGGCTTTTCATATGTATACCTTATGCAAACAGACTCCCCGTTAAATCCCACCATGACATAAGGACAATTAGTTATTTCAATGGTGATAAAATAATTAACTGGATTTCAGGTCAAGAAGCGTCTTTGGTTAAAATTAACATGCCAGTTAGAAACCTGAAGCCAGCAATTTTAAGATCTCCTGTTTCTCACATATGGGAGAATATGAAAAAAAAATTGTAACACGCAGCACTGAGAGAACGTAGTCTGCCAAACCTGTTTTTCATGAAGGAAGGCTGCTACCTTTCAGATGCTAAAAAAACCCCAACAAAAAAAATCCCAAAGCCCTGTCACATTTAAGAATAAATTACAAGAAAAATAAGACTGTAAACCTTAAGCCAAAATTTGGAATCCCTGTGTATGCGCTCCCTAGGACCAACCCCACTTGTTTCATATAAGGTCACTATTCGATGCAAATATGAGTTATGCAGATGCCTCTCAGATACAACAGTAACATGAAATACACCCCTGCAACAAATACAACTTTGTGATAGCTGTCACCATGTAGAAGGTGCATGTAGTCATTTACCTGAAAAGGCAACAGATTGTTGCCATTGTCCGTCCTGAACGCGTTGTCTTCCATCCAGGATTTGGGGGTTAAGGGTGCAGCCCGAGGGAACTTCGGAGGGGCAATGACATTGCTGGAGAATGGTTTTTTAAGGGGTGAAATGGGATTGAGGGGGGAGGGTACGCCAACCCCCACTCCCACGCCGACCCCCACTCCAACTGCCCTTCGAGGGTCCCTACCAGCCTGCAGCCCACCCCAAGGGTTGGAAGGTGTACTCCAAGCCGCGTTTTGATGGTTATTCCAGCTGGAGGAGGAGGAAGAGGAGGCAGAGGAGGAAGACGGTTTGCTGGTCATGATGGGCTGATGGCTGTAAGCAGCATTTCTCTGGGCGAAAGGTGCCTGATTAGGGCTTACAGGTGACCTCCGCTGCTGCTGCTGCTGAGCTTGCTGCTGCTGCTGCTGATGTTGGTGGTGTTGAGTCTGAGCTAGGCCAATTTGAGGCGAGAAAGTGCCACCAAATACAGGGTTGACATGGTGTGGAAAATTCTGGAAAAGCATTGTCCCATTGACTGGAGTAATCCCTTGGAAAAAGCTATCATCCACCGTGTTTGTGGTCCCTGTAGACCAGGTGCTGCCGAAGGAGGGAGACAAGGAGGTGCCGGCTGCAGGTTCTTGTTGAGGCTGGTGAAAGCTCAAGCCAGGCAAAATGGGAGACTCCATCTGCATCTTCTCCTTGCTATTTTGGGAAGGAGCCGATGTGCCGATACTAGTCACTGAACTGTTGTCTTCTGGTTTGGGTGTCTCCGATGAGATGGGTGTAGAGGGGGCTTCTGCTGAGTTTGGATCTTGCTGCTGCTGCTGCTGCTGCCGCTGCTGCTGGGGCTGGGCTTTGCTTTTGTCCATCAGTAAATCATCCTGCATGGTTTGCGCAGCTGAAACAGTAGGGGAAAAAAACCACAAAGACAGATTATTAACATTGTCATTCATACCACAAACCAGGCTGTTTTAATCATTTGCCGGCCAAAAATCTCGTCCTATTGCTAGTGCTATGCTACAGCAAGTTGCAAGGCAAACCCGTAATCTTCCCCCTCCCCCATTTAGGAATATGTAACCTTTGATCGTGCTAGATTGCCTTTAAAATATTTTTTAAGATGCTTCACCCTTTTTGATGCCTTGTTTCCCTTCAGTCTAAATGAGAGATGTGCTTATAGGGCAGAGATATACAGCAATTTCGCCACGTCTCTTTTCTCTTACACCGGAACTCAGAGCTCTCACCCTGCAATGAGAAACTGATTCTGGTTCCTGTTTTTCCAAGCACCCTCCTCCTCCTCCACCTCCTCCCCCTGGTTATTTGCATACGTCAATAAATACTGCTGCGTCCTTCAGCAAGGTTAAAAAGACACCAGCCTTCACTCTTCTCCACCCCCTTTTCTATTAGGGGACCTTTAAAGGAGCCGGGTACCGATTTTTCCTCAATTAACAAACACGCTCTCAACTATTTACATTTATCAGAGAGAAAGCACACACGAAACCTCGCACTGATACGGAGCGGTTCTTAGCTGCACGATCGTTTTCTGGCCTTTTTCTGCCGCACAGCTCGCCGCTTGCTTAGGGCAGGAGACGCGATCGCAATGACCGGGGGCGGGGGGGTGCGGGGTGCGGAGACACGTTATGTACAAAGCCACCGACGGGTGCTGTATTTGCCTTCGGTGACCTTACGATCTTTCCGTGTAAAACGCTATTTTACATCAAAGCAGTCCTTCGCTTAAAGGTATTTCTTTCTACTCGCTATATTTCTCTACATATGAAATCATCAGCGATGTGTTCGTTGGAAAAAAGAAGGTCAAAATGAACAGATCTGGGACTAGAATGTTTCTGATGCTTTCACAATGAAAAATAAAAATGGGCCAAATTGAAATATCTACAACAGAGACATGCCACATTGTAAAAGCCATCTTTATATGCACAAGACAGACTAGTGATGCAAATTATTTGCTAAATCAATACCTAAGTTTAAACTTTAAAAAGAAAATGTGCGTAGAATGGTTGAGTCTTACATCTGCAAGAAATGGCACTTCATATGAAATAGGACAGATCATATAATTTGATTATTATTTTGAAACACAACAATACTAATGCATATATAGACATCAATGAACAGCAATTGTATGAAACTAGAACAGGAGCCTCCACATTTTGCAGACTTTTAGTCAATTGAAGAGATCGTTCTAAATCTCAAAAGTATTTTAAATGAGCCAAAAATCACTTAGTTTAATTTGAGTAACTATGTCAAAGATGGTCATCACTGAATACCTAATTGCATTTGAGTTACTCATATGACACGTACATTCGTAAGATTGCATTTTTTAGGATTGTTATTTTAATGTAACAAAGTAAAGTTAAGCCAAATCAATTAACTGTTTAAGAAAGGTCGCAAAGAGTGAAATGTATGACCCTCCTTTCTTTTCTGACATTAACAGTTTTCAGATGGTCCATGTGCATCTTTAACACTCTCTGTTTCTTTCTTTCTTTTAAATCTCTTATGAGCTATACACACACATTTTAGTTAAAATGAATGTCAGGACAGGTTTCTGCTACCAATTAAGTTACTGCTCATGCTCCCTATTATTTACCTGTTCAACATGTAAACTGAACAGTATAGGGTTCATGAACAGGCTATGCAGTGAGACAACATTAAGGCAAGTTCCTGAGAAGAATGGAGTAAACTATTGCATCGGTAACAGACAGCTCTGCTGCTGGGGGTGCAGAAAACCTTGTAAGGCACTTCAAAGCAATACTGCAGTAAGCCATAATATATGAAGCTCTGTGTAGCTTGCCATTAGCTTAATTTCTATCAAAATCACTATTACTCCTAAGGCTACATAAAATCACTGATGATTCCACATCAGAGAGAGAAAAAGATTATATTTATCCCTCCCCTGGTTCTGAGCTACCAGTACAAAAATATATTTAGAGAGAAAAGCATAGCAGCCAAAATGTTACAATTCTGTCGTCAATAAAGTATATTTAAATCAGTTAGTCACCAGGTTATCTACAGTGGCTAGCACAGCAGTCGCTTCAAATATGTACCTTGACTTAGATAGTTGTTTTTGAACTTTATCCTAAGGACTGTAATCCACATTCATTTTCATACTGCTTCTTAAAGGTTAAAAAAAAAAAATCACTGCAGAATTCAACCCTCTTGTCAAGGTCAAGACCTACCTTTAATGAATGAAGCCAGTCTGAATGGAAAAACACTGGATAATAAATGACTTTGAAAGACAGGCCAGCCAATGTCTAATGTTGGACCAATATGCAGTACCTCTTGATTATTTTCTGGTGTAAGTATTTGTACAAATTTACAATCCAGTACAGGAAATCTATATCCCCATAGCAATACCAGCTCCGTTTGCATGCAGTAACCCACGCAGTCAACACAGAAATTTTTAAGGAACAGTTACCTTTGGATTTTCTGTATTTAAAGGTCAACAAAATGACAGTATATTTATTTTCTTCTTTCAGGTTTGGTATATGACAAATAGTCGACCACTCTGGCAAGAGCACTTTGACAACTGGAAGCTTTCCGCGCATGCGCTCCCAAGGAATCATGGGGTTTGAAGTCTTATCTATAGATGGCATTTCACTGCTGCCTATCCTGAAAGGAAGGGGGAACGAAGGGAAAAAAAAATACGTGCACGTTCCCTCTTTCCAGGGAAAACTGCTGCAATCTGAAACACCAGCTCTGAGAAAATAAATATCTGTCAGTTTGGGCTGAAAGTGAGTAGTTAAATAAGAGCTTTTAACAGTTTAATTTATAAGCCCAGATCAAATAGCTACCTATTCAGAACAACAATCGCTAGACAAAGAAATAGTTCTAGTATTTCCAAACTTCCTTCCAAACTCCAGACTTCTAGTATAAGAAATTAATTATAAGCTCATATGAGCTATAAAATATACAGCTATTGCAAAGGAGATTGTGTCATCCTGCTTAGCTGAAGAAAATATTAAATAATCACCTGTCATAATATAATTTCAAAAAACATTCTGCAACTCAAACACCAACAGGTCAAGTATGAGAATTTAAAAAAAAAAAAAAAAATCAAAATCAGCACGGAGGCAAAAAGTTGTACTATTTGGATAGTTTCCAATTTCCAAGTTACCACTTTTTCATTACTGAGTTACTGTTACTACACCGAAAATTCTACCAAAAAATAAGCTACTCAGAAAAAAGGAAGGTACAAATTTTACTATTTAACATTTCATCTACTCTGTACACTGTGGTTCCACATTTCAACTACCTCCCTTCCACTATGCAGTATCCACATATCTCCAACCTCCATACCAACACACAGCCTGACAGGAGTTCCTCTCGTAAGATATTAATATTTTGATGATTAGTGTAGGTCAGATAAAGTTTTCAGAATTTCATTTACTGGCACTTGTGTTCTGTCTTGTACTGGTCCATGAATTATTCTGGGTATTTATTCTGGGTAACCACTCGTAATACTAATTATTCAGGACCAAATACTAATGCTTATATGGAAATTACATAGTTGAAATCAGAAATGTGAACATATCAGTGTTTAATAAAATTGCAGGCTGCTTTTTCAAAGGATGAAATATGCATAGCTTTATGGGTGAGAGAGAGAGAGATGACCAAAGCTGAGAAAGATAAATTAGGGCAGCTGAAAATCAGTTGTTAAAATACTTACGTCTCTGCTGTCTACAGTCTGTTTATGTTGGACTGTATGGTCTGCCTGCCTTAAATCAATGTTGTAATTAAGAGTTTCTCAACACTTGCTCTAACCTGTTTGTGCTACTCTGAATCATTAAGGGCAGGAAAACTGCTTTCTTACAGCAGTTGAAAATACCTCATTTGTTGAAATATCCCAGCTAGCACAGGGCTGGCTCTAGGCGTTCTATACCCCTCCCTTATGTCCCTATTTACTTCTGGGTTATTACTTTTCAGATGATTTGATGATTCATGTGGAAGGGACCATACCTTTGCTGTCAGTTCTTCCCAGGAGACAGCTTCACTTCGTAGATCAATTATTAAGACAAGGGGAGTGCTCATTCCAATATTCACAAATGGAGAAGCACTCCAGAACCAAAGAAAATCAGGACATAAAGACAGTTTTTGATCAACTAGCCACTAGAAGAAAAACATTTTTTTGTTTTTACCAGCCAACTCTTTCGTAACTGGAAGTTAAAAGATAATAACAACAGCTGTATCAGAACACAAGAGCTTAATTCAATCTGGTATCTGAATTACTTGACCTGGGCCAGCTCCAAAGAAACAAATGTAAGAAAGGCCCAAATAAGCCTAGCTAACTCAATTAACATTGCATTGAGTGTATTTTTATTTTATGAAATTCATTATGAAACAACTGAAGCCTACTATAACTAACAAACCATGCTAGTCTTTTTGCCAGCAAGTGAATATTCCAACGAGCTTCAAGGTTAAAATGAAGTGTTATGTTACTGAAAAAATGAGGTTTTTGTAGAAACATTTTTGTCAGTTTAGAAATGTTTCATTTCAGCTTAATTGAGGGCTCCTTGTCTTTTAAAAGATGGAATCAAGTAGATTAAAAACACCTAACTGATCTTGTAATTTATGTATTACTATCATAGCAGCTAAAATGCAGTTTTGCCAAAATAGAATACTTTCATATTGCCAGGTTACTTAGCTTTGTTGAAAACAGTAAATAATTCCAACAGTCTTAATGTTGTCAGATCAAAAGAACTGTATTAAGGTACTGCTTCTTCATTATTCGGCCTCTTTTTCAGGTCTTGCTGAAATGGTCAGATAAATATTTAATATACCTCCACATTATTCTTACAGTAATTGCTTGTCAACTTCTTTTTAAGCTTAAATCTGTATAAATTTGTTATCAAACAATTTAGTATTTTAAAAGTTGATCTTTTGACATAAATCTGATAGCCAAATTTAGGGCTCAATGTTAAGCCCTAAATAGCTTATATTGTTTTTTGTGATTTTCATTAAGTTCTGTACTTGCCTTCAAATGTGCGTTTTTTTTAAATTCAAAACGGCTGCCATCTCCAGTTAGTATCAGTGAGGCTGAACTCAGTCAAATCTCAATTAGTAGCAATCATTTTCCCTCACTTTGCATTGGTGAAAGGGAGTCTGTTCCCAGGAGACTTCTCTCTGGGCTCAAATGCAGCTACTAGCAGATGAAGGCAAGAGAGGACAGAGTGAGACAGTGCAATGAACATCATGGAGACAGATGGAAGGAACAAAAAAGAATCTATTAAGGAATGATATGGAAAGCA